AAACCAAACAGAACAAAACAAAAAAACAATGACAATATCAAGTTTGTTGCATGGCATAAACACAGGCACACAGTAGATACATATCCTGTGCTTATCTTTCTAAATTGCCTTCAGGCTTATGCCATTGTTTTAAATATTTGCAGTAATAAGAAATCTTAACCTTTAATTATGGATTAGAAAACACTCAACTAGAAGTGACTATGCAAGCTAACTTTAATAAATAACTCAGCGAAACAATTTTAGTCTAAAAGACGTAAGAGTTCTATGAATCTGAGCAACATCTTGATCATGTTACTATGAATTTACTTTCTGAAGAAACTTAGAAGCTCTCAACATTTAAAAAATTGTCATAGGTTTAGATGACAGACCTGATTAATTCTGCCTGAATGGCCAGCCTCTGACATGTATATATTTTAAGAATACTAAAATTTCTCACTGTAGACTCTGATATGATTTGATTTTTGATCATTCAAGAAATTTGTTTTATTAGATAAAAATATAACTTTGTCAAAATCCTTACAAAGAGTAGAGCCAGATGTAGTGGCATGCACCCAGAGTCACAGTCACTAGAAAGGCTGCGGCAGAAGGGTCACTTGAGTCCTGGAGTTTGAGGCCACCGGCAGCATAGTGAGACCTCATCTCAGAGAAAAAAAAGTAGAACAAATTGTATGTGCCCAAAATAATCCCTCATTTTAGGCTCCTAAAAACTACAAGAAAAAAATCCCATTGATAGTCATACTTTACAGTATCTTTATAATTTATCTTTGATGGCCATTTAATTTTCTCCCATCACAGTCTAAGCATATATCCTCTTTTCCTATAGTGTGTTAATAAGAGAACAATTACATCTATAATTACAAAGTCTTTGGGGTCTGAAGACAGTTATTACATTACCCTTCACCTTACCTTTTCAAGTTAACCTAAATTCCTTTTCTTTTTAAAATATATTTAATTTTTTAAAAGCTCAAATTCTTATATGCAATATAAGGAAAATAACCATTACATACTTTACAAGGACAATTAATAAAAATACACAGTTAAAACTAGTTATTTAAAAATAGCAAAGTGATGGGTAAATACAGTTATGAACAATAAAGACCCAGAAAAATAATCATTCATACATTAATTCTATACCTGGTTTCATTCCTAGCATTCCAGGGATAAACATTCTAATTTTGTTTTTTCAATACTGGGGTTTGTACCCATGGCCTTCTCACTGAACTACATCCCCAGCTCTTTTTTTTTTTTTTTGACAGTACTGAAGATCGAACTCAGAACCTTGAGCTTCCAAGGCAGATGCAGTGCCACTGAGCTAAATCCCTGGCCCCCAGCTCATTTTAAAATTTTGAGACAGAGATTCATTAAGTTGCTAAATTGCCCAGGCTAGGCTTAAACCTCCTGCCTCCTCCCAGAGTGCTGGAGTTGCAGGCATGTGCTACCATGCCTGGATTAAAGCTGTAAATTCTAGATCTTAAAATTATAATCCTTACCAGGGGACTTTCCTTGTTGTGAGTTGCTTCTCCGCTCTCTGTATCTGGCTGGAGTGGGTAAGCCTGTGTCTTTACTAGGCTTGCTAGCAGGTCCCATTTCTGAAATGAGGAATCCCATCTGTTCTGAAGGCAAAATATTCTCAGGTGGATTGGTCTGGCCTTTTATACTGGCATCCACCTAAAATATTAAACCCACTTATTATTCTGAGATTTCTTCCAATAATCTACTAAAAGTTAACATACCTTATCAGAAGAGTTCTGTTATAAAAACTAATATGACAAACATGCTTGTAAAGCTTTTCATCCTTATGATATTAACTTTTGGTGGAATTATCTAAACCCTCAGTAATAAAAGGTACATTTCTCCATACTCAAAACACTAAAATATATACAAAGCTAAAGCATTTACTTATGAGCAAAGGAACATTTAAAATGAGACTTGATGATATTTTTAACTTTAAAAAGTAAGATTTAAAATATGATTAATTAGGACCACTATCTTTTACTCCATCAGACCGTACCTCCTAGTTGGTGGTGCTGTGATGCCCATAAACAGTTTATTCCACCAACTTTTGTATTCTGTCTTAAAGAGGCTGGCAAAATTGTATAAACTTCAGCTCATATATATTATCTGTATCTTTCCTGTTTATAAAATGAGTTTCTTTCTTGGGTTCCTAAATTTTCTTTGAAATATTAAATCCCTAACCAACTTCTGAAATACTTCATTTCTGTAAAATTTTATTTTAAATAAAGCTATATAATAAAATAAAGCTAAAAGTTAAAAACACAGCTTCCAACAGCTATGATGTTCAATTAAGAGCTGGGCATGGTGGCACACACCTGTAATCCCAGCACTCAGGAGGCTGAGGTAGAAGGATCCCTATGAGTTCAAAGCTAGCCTGTGCTACATAGTGAGACCCTGTCTCAAAATAAAACAAAACAAAACAAATATATATATATACTTATATATATAAATATGTATATATATAGAAAAGTAATTGTATAGATACAATTTTAAGATATGATATTCAATATTTCAGATGTGATTATGAAGGAACAAAGACAAATTTTTTTTTTGCTATAGGCATATTTAAAATATAATGTGTCTATCTTTTGTCTCCTGAATTTATATTGTTATCTTAATGCATAATCATCTTAACATATAATATACCACATCTCAATAGGCTCAAAAGGACAAGTCGATAGAACTCTTAAGACATTTAGATCTAAAATTAAAATTTAAAAGGCTGCCAAAAACAAAGCAAAAGCCAGTCAAAAGTTATCTTAGGAACCTCTATTTTCATTCACAAAAAGTAATTTTACAGCTGGGGATTTAGCTCAGTGGTTCCACCACCTGCCTTGTAAGCACAAGGTCCTTAGTTTGATCCCTGGTACCCGGAAAAAAAAAAAGTAATTTTAATTTAGATTTACTTTTCTTTTTGTATCAGGGATCAAATTTGGGACCTTGCGCTTGCAAGGCAGGCACAGTGGCCACTGAGCTGAATCTCCAGCCCTGGATGTACTTTTGATTAATTATTCTTACTAATTATTTAGAACAAAGTTTATTCTTTTTCTGGTCATATACTAACAGTAATAAAAGAATTAGCTTCCACCTTCTAAATATTTTCCTCAAACTAGAGTCAGAATGCTGCTCTTAGGAATCCAAGTACAACTTGAACACCAAGTACAAATTTGAACACCATATGCTCACTATTAGAGTTCAGTGGTGGCATAAGAAAACAAGGAAAGACTTCCAACCATAACCTTACCTCCAACTACAAATGCCTAGAAAAGTCTTCATATCATCTGTCAAACAAACCATTCCTTTTGATAATGGAATTTTATCAGTCAGGTGTACCTACACCAGCCAAATTAATTTAGGAAGCAAAATTCAAGAGATGCTTTTAACTTGAAAATAAGATTTATACCACAATACACTATTAGTCAGCCTCTGCAGAGGTTCACTTAAGACCATAATGTAATGAAAGGATACCTGGACGTTAAAGTAACTTCTTTTGAATCTTTTGTACAAAGCCTCTAGTATATAGCTATTTTGGAAAGCACAGTGAACTGGAATTACACCCAAATACAATCTAGACAAACTCTCCTCTAACAGATCCCTTGGCAAGAAACGCCAAGCTTTATTAGGATTGTCCTGTTTGCACCCTTACCTGATGTGTGCTGAATGGTAGTCCTTCCTGCATAAATACTACTGAAGATGGAGATGGATTATGGCTTAGTTGCTCCTTCAGTTTGCCATGAGCTTGTTGGATGGCTGCAGATTCCTGCATTGTGCTATTTTCCACAGGCTGAGCTGTGTGGACGGTATAGATGTACTCAGGTGACTGCGGTAGAGAGCAGGCAATTGCTTGTTCTGTTCCAACCACAAAAGACGTAATATCTGAGCCTACAGGAGTAAGTGGCTCCAGCTGGCTAGCCTGACTTGTGGAAGGATTGCTGTTGTTTGAATTAGTTAGGATATGTTGGCCTCTGTTAGACTGAGATGTAGGGCACTGATTCTCAACAGGTTCCACCTTTACCATTTCCAATTTAGGGGAGGAATGCAACTCATCTACTATCTGAAAGACAGCCTCTAGGTTTACTTCTGTCTTTTTATTTTCATCAGGAGCACTGCAAGTCCAATTAGAAGGCAGAAATTCAACTGGATAGGAGGACTGCATTGGAGGATTCTGGGAAAAGAGAAAATAGGACTGTTTGGATAGAAAATCAAAAATGACATTAAGGAGGAAAGCAACAACATTTAAGCTGATGAATGCTAAACATAAATGATTAAACCTAAAGCTAAGAAAATCTGAATGCTAGGCCGGACGTGTGGCGCACACCTGTAATCCCAGCACTTGGAAGGCTGAGGCAAGAGGATTGCTGTGAGTTCAAGACCAGCCTGGGCTGCATAGTGAGTTCCAGGTCAGTCTCAACTACATAATAAGACCCTGTCTCAAAAAAAACAACAACAACAAAAAAAACCAAAACAAAACAAAAAACTAAAAAAGAAAATCTGAATGCTAATCTACCTTTCAGCAATGGTAGTTTCAAGTGTACTGTTAACATTTACTTAGCATCACTATATATCAACCACTACACTAAGTTTAATACTGAAGTGTACCACTAATTCTCAGGGCAAGTATACAAAAACCAAAAAGTTACAGTACTCAAATATCTACTTGCTGATAAAATACCTATATACGAAAGTTTCCCAAAAAGACTTATAGATTAAAAACATCACTTTCATTTATCATGTTGTTTTAGGAATGCAGTAAGGAATTTTCAAAAACAGGATGGTCATAAATCCACCAATCTTTCTATAGATTCGGGGAAGGTACTGATAACTCTGTTCCAAATGATCTGGGAAAAAATGGATGGAATGTCAAATGTCCCTTGGTTACTGAGATTTTTAAAAAAATAATGCAATAGAGTACTGTATACCTAAAATGTACAAATAAACTCAATAAAAAACAAATAAAGCAATAGATTAGAATAGCCAAGACTTTAAGATTGTATCTTCAATGATACTGTTTTATACATATGATAGTGCTTTGCACCAAGGAGGCATTCAATGTTATCTCAGATTATAGCTTAAAACACAGAAGAACTATGATTAAATAAAACATACAATGAGTTAATATTATCAAATAAATTAGAAAGATTCTATCAATGAGTGTTAGGTAACTAGTGCCAAATAAGTAATGTAAATTCAAATAGTATAAGTATCAAGCTATTATAGCCAAAAGCACTATTCATGGAGCTCTATGTGACAAGCACATGCAAAGAGGTTATATACAGGGGACACTTGACTTATGAACTCAATTCATTCCTGAGGACTGGTTGTAACTTGAGTTGGTCAACTGAAGGCTCAGGCTCCTCTACACAGCCTTCAAAAGTCTCTCTCCTGTATAATGGCAGTGTCCTTAGACACTGGCCCAGGATTTCTCAATTAATCCCACACAGGAAAGAATGTTATAATGTTCCTTCCAGAACTCTTTAACGGTTAAATTTGTATATGAGACCATGTGAAAACACAAGCAGCTGGTATTGGGGCTGTAAACTCAAGACTTTGGTCGTAAGTTAAAACTAAAATTCTGAGTTGTTAAAACTAAAAATCCAAGCTGTTCGTATGTCAGGCTGGTGATAACTTGAGGGTCCACTGTACATTACTTCTTTTAATCCTTACAAAAGCCCTATGAAATGTGATCATCTCTACTTCTAAATGATAAAACAGAGGTTCAGAAAAACTTCTTAATTCACTCAATGTGGCACTGACGTAACTAACAGAGTCAGGTTTTGAGCTTAGGTTTTTCTGACTCTAGATCTTTTGCTTTTAACCATGATAATATACTGACCCTTCATGCAGTATTTCACTAATACCTATAATCCAATGAAACTGCATTGATTTTTCAGAATGAGATCTGAAATACTGTCTCTTTTTCCCATTTTTAAATGTTTTGTCTGCTTATTTATATTTTCCAAAAAACAAATATATACTGTCTTTATAAAAATGTTTCAAATGGCCTATTAAAAATATGGACATAAATAAATAAATAAAATATGGACATAATCATGATATAAATACTGTTAGAGTGTCCCTAGTATAACACACAGGAGAGGGTGTCTGGATCTACAAACAAGAATATCCGATTGTGTGGTAGGCATGTCCTTCCAGTGAAGATGAATTGACTAGGGTGTGATGCTTGATACTGACCATGAAAAAATGGCCAACTAAGACCCCTACTTCAAAAAACAGTGGAATTATCTCCTTCCCACATACATTTTCTTTAAAAAAAAAAAAAAGGCGTGAGGGAGAATGTTCTTTTTTTATTTGTCTGTTTGTTTGAGACAGTCTCACTATTAGTTCAGGCTTGCCTTAACTATGTAGCACAGGCTGGCCTTGAACTTGTGAAATTCTCATGCCTCAGCCTAACGAGTGCTTGGATTACAGCCACTATACCCAGTTTAAGAATGTTCTTTTGAGCAATTTAATGTCACCAGCAATGTCAGTGGTACAGCATGTGCCTAACCTGTTTGAGGTCTTGGATTTGATCCCCAGCAACACACACACACACACACACACACACACACAGACATTCCCCTATACCTCAAGAACTGAACCTATCTCAGATTCAGTGGTGGCCAACTTACCACAAGTGTGCTACAGCTGGCTGTTTGTTATCACTGAAAACTCTAACAGGTTCACCATCACTGATCTAGATGATTATTCAAGGCAGAAGCACCATTCTAATTTAGCAGTTACAGTATAAAGCATGGCATTTACTCTTATCCTAAAAATAGCAACATAAACACAGCATGGTGGTGCATGCCTATAATCCCAGCACTCGGGAGGCTGATACAAGAGGATCTCTATGAGTTCAATGTCATTCTGAACTACATAATGAGACCCTGTCTAAAAAAAAAATCCTAAAAATAGCAATATAAAACAAATATATCAGAGCAATTGTTTCCTAAAAAATAATAAGATATTTGAGGTAAATTTTTATAACATGCAGGCTAAGGCTGAAGGGGACCAGACTTGAATTTCCTCATTTTTGACATCATTTTTTTTCTCCTTTAAAAAAAAGTCGAATGTTCTGTACCTTCTGAAATGAGGTGTTATTTGGTGACTTATATACTTTTAGAATTTATCTGGTATTTATTTCACTATGCAAAAGTCTAGAACAGCATTGTATAAAATAACTTTCAGCAATGATGAACATGTTCTATTTCTATCCTGTGAAATTTGATAGCCATTAGCCATACAAGACCACTAAGTCCTTGAAATTGACTAGTGTGACTAATAATGAATGTTAAAATTTAATTTTAAATTAAATTTAAAATGCCACATGTGGCCAATGGCTATTACATTGGACAATGCTAGCCTAGAAGAATACTCAGACATCATTCATGCCACACTACCCCTTTTATTTAGAATTGAGAGAGCTAAGCCCATGATCCACATCTTATCTCTGGTAACTCATTAATATAAATTACACTTTGAAATTGTGTAACTGCACATGAACATAGTGAGCCCATAATCTTACCTGGAAGTAGTTGCAGTGTGCATAGGAAGAGGCAGTGGGAGTGACACAACTACTTAAAGAGTCCATGTGGGTAGAAGGAGAGCAGCACTGTAGCACAGCTAGAACAAATTCAAATACAGACAAGCCATCAACCAAAATAATCCTTACAGCACTCAAAGCATTACTTTCTCTCAACATGGAAAGAAGCCAAAGAAGAACTTCCTTTATGTCTCTAAAAAAATTAATTTAGTTCAGATATTTTTTGCTATTGTTGAAAATAATATGGTCATATAATAAACTTTAAAGTGGTCATGTCTGCTTTCCTAAGTGGTTCCTTTAGCACCTAAACAGTGTGCTACCTTTCTAACTAAACATTTATTCTTTTTTTTTTTTCTTTTTGGTACCAGGGATTGAACTCGGGTCTTTGTGCTTGCAAGGCAGGCCACCAAACCGCTGAGCTAAATCCCCGGCCCTAAACATTTATTCTTATTGAAAGTAATTTCATTTTACCGAAAGTATCAGAATATATTTGGCATTCCTAAATAATTGTTTCAATTCTTTTGAGCAGTAACAACTATTTGGAGTGTTTCAGAAGAGTAAATAAAAAATATTCCTACAATTAAACAATGTACCTGGCATAAACATATGCAGAAAATATTTTAGCCATTTAAACAAGTAGTTAGGTTTGTGGATCCTAAAGCCATAAAGCTCTTAGAATAGTAATGGTAATTAAGCAAGCAATAAATATTAATGGCTGTTCTTTCAAGTAAAGAAATAATTTTTGTGATGCTGGTGGGAATTGAACCTAAAAGTCCATTTTCCAAGCTTTCTATTTATAGGTAGCACACTATGAATAGTTATATTTACAGATGCAGTCTTAATAGGTTGAGTCTCTCTGAGACTCTCCAATACAAATGAGAAACAGTTATAATATCACATCTTTGGATTAAACAGGATAACATGTGTTGAGCACCTACCATTCTGGAGGCACAGTGGCAGATAATCTACGTTTATGAACTCAATCTTTCGTTTGTTTGTTTTGGTACTGGGGATTGAGCTCCAGATCTTGCACTTGCAAGGCAGGCAGCAGAACCACTGAGCTAAATCCCTGGCCCTACATGTATGAACTCAAACACAAATGGATGAAGCTACTTTATAAAATAAAATAACCTCAAACTCAGAGACAAAAATTTCCTATAAAGCTGATAGTGTCAGAGCCAGAGCCAGGAATCAAATGCCAAAGCACATGCTTTTTTGTTTTGTTTTGTTTTGTTTTTTGGTACTGGGGATCAAACTTGGGACCTTGTGCTTGTGAGGTGAGGCAGGCCACAGAATCACTGAGCTAAATCCCCAGCCCCTAGCACATGTTTTTTAATACCATATTTCCCTAAGCCTTTTTTCCTTCTTCTTGAAATTTAACATTTTTATTTTACTAGAATTCTATGTGCTAAATATATTTAAAAGTGTCTTACTTTAAAGGTTTCTCCATGTTTTATATTGTGTGTGATAATAAATTACAGTCTCATTCCTTAAACTTTGAAAGTAAATTAGCCTAAAGATTATAAAAATCACTTGAAATGCTACCTTAATTTTTGATTATTGACTATTGATTTCTAGATAGATATACATCAGAGATCGAACTCAGGACCTTGCACTTGCCAGGCAGGCGCAGCGCCACTGAGCAAAGAAATACTTTTACATCTCATGTGCAATTTAAGACATTAAATTATTTATATAGAAAAACTTTAATAGAATTCTAGTTGAGATATAAATATAAGTGTTCAAGTTCTCTGAGCAACATGTTTTTTAACAATTTTAGTGATCCTTAAAATTTTTTTTAATGTTTCTTAGTACATGTCTGCATTATATAATGATTCAAGATGGGGAGTTCACACATATATATAACACATTTTAATTCTTTTTACTTCCTGTCCCCAACTTTAGTGATTTAAAAAAATATATACAGTATTTACTAATTGTCACATAAAATTCAAGCTGTTGCTACTTTCAACACAGATTTGGCAACAGGTTCCTACACTTGATCTTTTGGAAGTTATTCAAATATACAATTAAATTTTTTTATTTTAATCTGATTTACCAAGGGTTTTTTTGTTTTTGTTTTTGTTTTTGTTTTTGTACCGGGGATTGAACTCTGGCCCTCATGCTTGCGAGGAAGGTAGCGGAACCACTGAGCCAAATCCCCAGCCCATATTTTCTTTTGTTTTGTTGTTTTGCTGTGCTGAAGATGGAACCCAGGGCCTTGCACATGCTACATCCCAGGCCTCCTATAAATCCTGGGAAATAAACTTAATTCAAATAACTAAACATCAAGTCAGGTGTGTCAAAACTGAAAAAAAATGAAGAGTTTTTTTTCTGGAGCAGTAACAAGTAAGGAAAACCTAGCCCCCTAGTGACAGGAAAAGACACTCACGAGCTGCAGGTGTCCTTCCATCAGGGTAGGTAGGGAAACACTGCTACATTACAAATAAATCATTAAAAGGGTTGTACTGATTTTTCTGATATTTCAATGTGCTGATTCTATTAATAAGAGACATATATTGAAGTTGTAAAAATACTAGTCAATTTCTTGGATAAACTAAAAGAACAAAGAATATGTTAAAATATATAGATAGCTGACTTTATAAGAAAACAGCGAAACAGTGAATGTCCTTTAAAGCATCCACAGAAAGGTGCCTGTGTGAAGTATAGGAGAACTTATAGATTAAAGTCCTAAAAGATTCCTCAATAGCTATTTCCTTACCAGTGCAGTCCCACTTTATATACCTAATAAAGTAGAACAAAGCAAGATATTACTAAGTTTCCTGAACAGAAAAACCTAGGTAAAGAAATTCAACTATGTGCTTAGTATATGACAAATTAACCTACTGTGCATTATGAAAGCGCTAAAATTCAAATGCCGAGTTTATCACTGTCTTAAGATATATTCATCTGCAAAAGATACTTTAAGCCAGGTTGTAGTAACACACACCTATAATCCCAGCTACTTGGGAGGCTGAAGCAGGAAGATCGCAGCTTTGAGGTGAGCCTAGGCAACTCAGTGAGCCTCTGTCTCAAAAAGAAAACTTTAAGAAAAAGAGATGGGGATGTAGCTCCGTGGTAGAATACCCCTGCAGTAGATCCCCAATGCTGAAAGGGGAAAAAAAAAGATCTTTAGATGTCTTCCTGAAGGCAGTGTTTACTTTAAGGAATTAAACTGAATGCAGAAAGAAAAAGTGTAAATATTGAAGAGAAATCTCATTGCAGGTAGAAATAAGAGATAATTATTTTTGTTTTTTGGTGGTGGTAGAGATATTTTTTTTTGGTGGTGGTGGTACTGGAGATTGAACCCAGAACTTCATGCATGATAAGCAAGCTCTCTAACTCTGAGCTATATCCCCAGCTCTTTTTAAAAAAAAATTTAAATTTTGAGCCAAGGTCTCAATAAGTTGCCCAAGATAGCCTCAAAATTGCAATCTTCCTGGGCCGGGGATTTAGCTCAGTGGTGCCGCCGCCTGCCTCACAAGTGCAAGGTCCCAAATTTGATCACTGGTACTGAAAAATTAAAATTAAAAAATTGCAATCATCCTTCTTAAGTCTCCCGAGTAGCTGGGATTATAGGTATGTACCAGGGGCTGAGCTAGTTGACATTCTTTAAAATTTCTAAATACTATAAGAGCCAGAATTATTAAAAAGTATTACTTGCACTATAGATGAGGCAAACAAGTTTGTATACTTTATCCTATGGAAGCAATTCAAATTTTTTAACTGAAATATTTTGAATTTGAATCTACTCCAGGATAGCAATGTAACAGTGAGAAAATACTAAAAAATATAAACGATCAAAAGAAATAGTAAATGTGATAGTAAATTTTAATCTCAAGATAAATTCCTGGATTAGTCAAATTTGTAGAGATGGAAAGCAGTTTAGTGGGGGCTGGGGATTTAGCTCAGTGGTGCTATTGCCTGCCTCACAAGCGCAAGGTCCTGAGTTCAATCACCAGTAACAGAAACAAAAGAAAGTTTAGTGACTACTGGGGCCTGGAAGGAAGAATAGGATGCTATAGCTTAATGAGTAGTTTCACTTGGGCGATGAAAGTTTTGGCAGTAATGGTGGTGGTTGCCCAATATTGTCAATGTAATTAGTGCCAATGCATCTACATTTAAAAATGGTTAAGATGGTACACTGCTATATTAAGTATTACATAGTTCCACCTATATGAGGTATCTAGAATAGTCATATTCACAGACAAGTAGAATGGTTGTCAGGGATCAGGGAAGAGAGAAAGGGGAATTATTGCTTCATGGGTAGAGAGTTTTAGTTAAGGAAGATGGGAAAAAGTTCTAGGGATTCACAGTGCTGATGGCAAATATATATAATAGCACAGAAAATAGTTAAAATGGTAGGTTTTATGTTATATATGTTTTACTACAATAAAAAGATATACATCTGACTGTACTTTTGTTTATTCTGCCAAGCAAAAAGTTCCTGATACCAAGCTCTTTTCTTTTTTTATTTTTGGTACCAGGGATTGAACTCGGGCCCTTGCACTTGTAAGCAGGTGGTAGGACCACTGAGCTAAATCTCCTGCCCCCAACCTCTTTTCTATAAGCACCAAGTTAGGTTTCTTCAAAGAAATAGGCTACTGGGCCAGGGATTTGGCTCAGTGGTTCCACTGCTTGACTCACAAGTGCAAGGGCCTGAGTTTGATTCCCAGAATCAAAAGAGGGGGTGGCTAACCGAACACCACCACACTGGAGAACTTTTATAACTCCATATGTCCACTTATTTGTGTACATTATGAGAATTAGAAGCCTAAAGATTAAACTTTTTTTTTTTTGAGACAGGGTTCAGGTTGCCTTGAACTCACTAGAAGCCTAGGGTAGCCTCAAACTCATGGTAATCCTACTGCCTCAGCCTCCAAAATGCTGAGTTTACAGGCATATGCCAAGTCAAACCTTTATTTAGTTTTTAAATTTTTATTTTATTTATTATTTTTATTTATTTATTTATTTTTAGTTTTTTGAGACAGAGTATCACTATGTAGTCCAGGTTGGCCTTGAACTCATGGTGATTCTCCTGCCCCAGCCTCCCAAGGGCTAGGGTTACAGGTACACATGA